AAAAAAAATCTTGCGCGTTTCGTCTTTCGTGGGATCAAAAACCTGGAAAAAACTCCTTCCTGGAGTCGTTTAGTGTCTCCTAAGGACCACTGCATAGAACCTCGACCAGTGCACCCTCCTATCACCCGCCATTTTGTAAGGTTATCGACTAACCGAGTCATCCCCCCTAATCGTTCCTGAAGGATACCCTTCTACCCCCGATGATCACTGTCAAGGAGTAGCTCAGTTTTGAATACCACCTTATCCTTATCATTCATTTATCCGAGGAGTTTCAATTATGGTACCCTTTGATCTGACATATACAATCAAAAATATTTTCGAAAAAAGCTATAAAAAGGTGCTTTTTCAGCTCTCTGATCCCGTAAAAATAGGCGTAGGTAGTTTATGGCGAGTGGTGGGTCCAACCAGAGGCCAATATCTGTCTAAGCCAAACTTTCCATCTTTCCGGGATCGATTGAGCATTACCAGACTTGCCTGGGAGGATAGAAGCACAGACTTGTACATCGGCTGGCCACCGCAAGTTGTTGTATAGGCCACATACGCATTCATTACTCCCTTACGATTTTGAATGGAGGCCGAGTGCAAGGCGTATTCCTCGGACAAAAAGGATTAACGCCGAAAGGCCCTATGCTTCAGGCTTAATATATAACCCATCGATTTGTTTTGTGGGAGCATCCTATGATCCTTGACTTTGATGCTATTTATTTATCCCTGGATCAATAGAAGGTGTTGTTTAGATATTAAAATGAGATCAGAGTATGTGAGATTTCCTCTGATTGACAGAATGAAATATGAGTTTGTTTATTCAAGTTTTGGAAAGTCCCATGACTCGGGCATACCTAAGCTTTTTTCATGTTTTTTTCTGCCTATTACAATGAGGCCAGTGTGAGGTTTCGCTTTTTGCCGGACTTCTTTCGTCAGTCAGTCAGGAGGTTTCTCGCTGTCCTACATATGTTTGAGGACAGCTGTCCGAAAAGACCACAGAGCGAATTTTTTTCTATCGATCGCGTCTTTTTATCGTTAGTTTTTCCATAGCTTTCCATGGCTTATGCGCCAACACTGCACGGAAAAACTTCTGAAAAAGTGTCCGCGATTGCTAATGGGGAAAGGCGAAAAAAATGTATTCTTTAAAGATTCCCGATGAATCTATCCCACTTGAAAGAGCATTCCAGCATTAATTACCCACATGAATACGAATGTGGCTGTAGAAAAGAGAAGAATAAATGGTGAATCAAAGGGCTCTCAGCCATGAAAAGCAACGGAACAGATGACGTTGTAGTGGGCCTGCTAGTCGTTCAACAATGTTCCACTGCAGCTTTGAGATCAATGCATGTTATTTCTTTAACCCAAACGGGATTCCATCCATCAACAGTGTGGTTAGAAGTGACACCTTTAACCACTGCGCCATCCTTGAATCTATAATACAATATATGAGTAGAAAAACTTGGAGCAATCTTGTTTACCGAAGTGCGGTTCATCACGACCATTGGGTGATCATATGAAGGCATAGTGTTGACTCAACTTTTATTTCAATTTATTCACGAATTTTCAAAGTAGGCGATGGCAAGCGGGGCCTCGGTAGTATAATGGATAGGCACGGTGCCCTGAAAACACAAGAACGGGTTCGAGTCCCGTAGGAGACTGAAGTTTTGTCCATAAATCGCCAACCTTGTGAGGATTTTAGAATTTTAGGAAGTTAGAATTACTTTAGTTTTGTGAAGTGGACATCAGATGCTTCATTGGGATATCATCTCTGGGTAAAGGGAATCAGGTCAGACAGCACTTCGATCGAGTCGGATCTGATCGGAATTCGGTCCCATCCATTTAAACGCGAACTGGAAGATTGAGATTGAATATCCATTGAAGATTACTCCAAACAATTATGATCAGAGACAAGTTATCTCTGTACTTTCACTTTGATGCTATTTGTTTACGTAAGCAATGAACATAAGGGCACAGATGCAGTACGTTAAACAACAAAGCAGTTAGCAAAAGTGATCAATAGAAATCTACATATCAAATGGGTATATGTACCTTCTTTTGACTCTTACTATTTAAATTTAGTGTTCGATAAGTAAACATCTGGTGTCCCGGAAAGGGTAGCCTGAGCGTTTTAACACCCCTATAACGGTTTGGGTTGTCGTAAGGCGATTTCAGAATGATTCCAAATCTACTACGACAGTCCCGAAGCTCCTCGTAGAGACCATTTACATCATTTTACTTCCCTATGTTCAGCAGACAACAAGGGCCCTAGTGAGCCTAGATCTCAACGAAGCCAACCAAAGGTACCTTGGGTCGTGGAGTATGCACCTTATAGTCGGTTCCTGGCTGTCTTCCAGTAGCTTAACGGAATTCTTCACACACGAAACCAGTTTTTGTTGATTATCGTGAACATCAAGCAAGCCAAGTGCAAAACCGATTTCGAAAAAAATCGATAGTAAAGCGACATCATTGTGCTAACGTGGGACCCCTTTACATTACTCCTTGATACTGGGTCTTTTTCAGTTCACGCAACTCTCACATCTGCAACAGCACATTCGTACGCATACCGGCGAAAAACCATACAAATGCAAATATACAGGTTGTGAAAAAGCATTTTCACAACTCAGCAATCTTCAATCGCACTCACGATGTCATCAGACGGATAAGCCATTCAAGTGTAATAGGTATGTGTCGTACGTTCTTCTGATTCCTAGCTGCGAGAGTGAGAGAAGTTATGTCTCCAAGTGATTGCATATCGTTCTGGAAGATTATTCTTCGGACCAAAATTGAGGTCCATTCCCAGAGATACCAGTTGTTGGGTAGAGCCCAGTAGGTTACACACTGTCTCCTTGAGAAGAACCTTTCTCGGAGCTCCTAGATAGAAGGAAATGTTAAAAGCCAAGCCGAGCCGAAATCCCCGGCAAACAACCACTGAAATAACCTCCCATCCGTACTCGCTCCACTCAAGGTGCTTTACCTTAGGGCTGCCGGTGCTCGGGGTTAGAAAAAGGCAGTTTCAAGGAGTCACCGCCACTCTTCGGAGGTGATGGCTTTGAACGAAGATGGATGTAGCCTTTTTGAAAAGGCAGTTCGCTTCTTCGAAAATAAGGCTTACAAGCTTTCCTTTTTAGCTTGTAGTCGAAGAATTTTCGCAGTCCACGCTCGTCGTCGTGGACTGCGCAGGCTACGCGGCTCAAAGCTGAGGTAGAAGCTTACCAACGCTCTGAACTGGTACCTGAGAAGTCACCTCACTCACGAAATGCTCGTCAGAAATGTCGATAGCAGCGGAAAGTCACTTAATGCCCTATTCATGGTCGACTACAGTAGAAGTTTTTCAACGAAAGACATTCGAGGTGTACGCTTTGGAATCAATCAATTGTAGGCCCATTGTACCCTCATTGAAATGCATTCGTTCGTTGGGCAACAAGAAATTGTTTTAAACAGCCAACTTCAAAGGGGTTGAGCGGTTGCGGCTTCACAAAGGACCCTTTCTGGCTGCATCCCGATATTCCCTTTCGAATCGTTTGAATCGCCGATTTTTCAAACCTTTTTCCACTCTTTGCTGATCATTGTAGAACTCAGCGGGTGCTTCCTTTTGTCTCAGGATGAACGCTGCTCTGGGATCTGGTCTTACTTGTCCCCCACAAGAGTCCGATTTTAACCTAAGTCGCGGTTCGCATACCTTTCCAAAATTTCATCTGTTTCGTGTCTTCTAGGGGTTTCAGTACAAAAATTTTCCACTGCCCGAGATTCCCAGGGTGGAAAGTCGACAGTCTCGATGCAGTGTTGTCCTAACTCTCACGAAATTGGTCCTCATACTTTAAGCGGTCACCCCCGCACGAGAACTCCAAGCGGTCGGGTTTCCTTATCAACGGTCCAGTTCAGATCCGTCTCAAAGAATAGACGGGGGATCATCTCAAAATGAAACTTGTTACTCCCTTTCCTTCTGTTCTGAGCTGACTTTTGCATGAGATTGAACTTTTCAGCACCCCCCAAATGATGCATTCCCATTGCTTTTGAACTCCCAAGCATGAAAGGCGTAATGCGCTCTCTCTTCTCAGCTTATTCTTGATAACAACCAACAGAAGACCATTGGTTTGTGAGTCCTCAAATTGAAAAATCGGGCAGGTTTTTTCAACCAGGAACTGAAACGGTGCAGGAGGAAGTTGGACTGGCCTTGCGACCTTCCTAGGCATAGCAGGTTGGGGGCCAAATAAAAACAGTTGCCTCTTGTTGTTCTCCTAGCAGTAGCAGCAGGTAGTAATCACCCCCAAATCGTTCTTTACTCTGGGCAGCGCCGTTGAGAAATGAGTTCAAGCCTATGATTCAGTGGGAGTCCTCTTGACAAAGAGATTATTTATGTTGAGCAGCCTGTTGAAGACAGTATGGAGTATAAAACAATTTCAATACTGCCTAGAGGTGATCTTCACGAAGTCCTAGACCAGCGTGAGCTCCGAGCGAAATGCCCTTTACGCTATGTGTGGTCGCCGAGTGTGTGAATAGAAAATGCGCTCCATTCGATCACCAAAAACTGTTCATTGATGTTTGCTAATCCTTTCCCGTCTGTGTGTAAAGTGGTGATGGAAAACTGGCACGACAAAGGGGTTTGCTGAACCGAGCTGGGCACCCAATTTGAACAATTTTTCCAATTTCAGCTGCTATAAATGCTTTTCGGATGAGCAGAGCTTACTGGAACATATACCGAAGCATAAGGAATCGAAACATTTGAAGGTTTGCAGGCTTTTCCCAGGTTGATTTATAGTTATTTTGAATTGCCCACATTTGTTTTCTGTTCAGGTGCATATCTGTCCGTTCTGTGGAAAGTCGTACACACAGGCCACGTACTTACAAAAACATATGACAAAACATGCTGATCGGACGCGAGCGAACCCATTAGGAGGGTGAGTGACAAGTGCCCATTAATTCTTGGTTTTTTTGGAGGACGAGAATTTCGTCGTGGGACCGCTTCCCTACTCTTTAGCAGTTAGCGACCAGTGAACATCGGTTCGAAACTGAGTACACCATGTTTGTTGTTTACCATGATCTTCTACTCCCTGGTCTTCGTTCGTAAACAAGTTTTGGAGTACGAGGGGATTCCCGAATCTTTCACCCTATTACGTCCCCATTTGTCCAATCACTCGTACAGTAACCACAAACAGCAGAATAAGAAAGTTTTAAGGCGATCTGTGGACCCGTCACATATACGGCGCACTTCAGGGAAGTAATGGAACGGCCGATCTGGGACCCAGTGTGAATGGAAAGGATCTACATAACTCATGATTAGACGTCAGGGAAAGTTTCGGAGTTGCGGGTTGGTGTGTGGGTTAATTGGACTGTTACTGGAATTAGAAGTGGGTCGTAAGTAGCTCGGGTAAGAATGTCCTTTGTAAAGTAGGGGAAGCGCTGTGGGAGGTTGGTTAGAGCGAGTTCAGCCTACCCTCATTTATTGTCCAGCTCTTCCCAAACCTAGATAAAAAGCCCTTCAAACGGCCTATGACTTTCTAGACCATAAGACTTTGGAAGGGTGCCTATAGGAATTCTTAGAATTCTCTGGGCTAATTGGAACGGAAAGCAGTTCCTTCTTTAAAGGGCATATCACACGGCTCAGCTGGGGAATTTCTCAACAATCGTAATTACTGGGTCGTCTGAAAATATCTATATAAAGGTGGGATGAAAGGCATGAAAGCTATTCGCTCGACAATCACTATCCCCGGAAAGATGAAGGAGTAGGGGAATAGGGGTGACAGGAGGTGCTTTACGCCTGTCACTCCCATCGAGAAGCCTCGAAACTCTGCCGAGAGAGTGGAGTCATGGTTGCGGCATAGTCAACCACCGATGAAAGGGGGAACGTTCTTCTTCTTGTTCCCCTTTGGACGGGTATTCTTTCATTTTTGTACTCTGTCCCATCAATTAAAAAGTGAAAGTGAAAATGTATACGGAGACGGCGCTATCCAAACGTTCCCAACGTCGGTCGATCGATTGCCCTCAGTGTTGCCTTGCCCAGCCCAAAGTGCATCATACGAAATGGGATGCATAAAGAGGGACAGATTTCCAATAGATATCATAGTGCTGTAGAAGCCCCAACTCTGTGGTTGGTGAACTTTCCTCCTTGTCATTACTGTCTGCCTACGGTGTTTTCTGGGGGAAAAGTCTCAATGGATGTATCGGAGGTTCTTCCACTAGTTTTTCGTGGCCTGGACATGAATGCTTAACGGAAAGTTTTGAATACCAACCAATTCTCCATCCGAAAAGACGGAAGGCCCAAAAACATTAATGACACAAACTACAGGGGAGAAGCTGACGATTCTGTCCCCACTCTGATCGATTTTCTAGGTAGCTTAAGACGTCTGGGTAGTTTAGTGGCGTAGATGGCCCTCTACTTTCGATCTGGGAGGTTACTCACTAACCGCTGATGCTGGATATAAGTTCTTTCTGGGTTTTCATTTCATTATTCCCAAACTTTGGGGATTGATTATTTGGTACCATACTCGTATGGTAAGATAAATGCGCCGAATTGTAGATTGACTGGCTTTTTTTAGTCATTATATAGGCCATTTACACCTATAAAGTACCATTGTTACTCTAAATGGAAGTCAAAAGCATGGACGTACTTCAAAAGTGGAATGATTGTGGCCATAAAAACTTTACTCATTTACTATGTCGCTATTTTAGTTTCCGACCGGATTTTCCTGTCGATCAGCTTGATTTGAATTCATCATGGAATGGCCTACAGATGCCGGACAACTCCCACACGCAACAGTTCGACATCAGTAAGTGATTTATCATTCTTTCATGAATCTTCATGAAACACGGAATTCTATCACTCGCTGCTGAAATATTTAGGAAATTTTAATACACAGAAATCCAATATAGGGCTCGAGTAAACATTCCTTGAATAACATTCAGAACGAAGCTTAGAAAGGACTTTAGATCGACCCTTACATTTGGTAGATTGTTCCTGTGGCGGGCCAAATTATTAGGTTATTCCTGTGCCTCATGAAACTGATGAATACTCATGTTACCTGTTGAAAAGTAGGGTTGTGATGGTAAGAATTTTGGGAACCAGCTCCTTCGACAACTGGAATTCTCGACCATGTACTGGTAATATTTGAGCATTGTCCTTTCTTTAATGCACTGATCACATGTCCGAACCGCCTGCGCAGACTTGCTCAGCCCTTGAGCTAAATCATTCATCACCTCGTTCTCCCTTGACCTAGGTACACTTCGCTGGAGCCTTGAAAAGTGGAGGGAGGGGCGTAAAAGGGAAGGCAAGTCGGTTTCTTACTATCATAGTCTATACTGAACACAATAATCGGCATGACGTCGCGTACCAAGTGAAGGTGGGTGTAACTGCTGACCGACGTCCTTCTTTTCTAGAAGGGTTCCCATCCCATTTGACGCACGACGTTATTGAGAACGGCAGTGAAACGTCTGCGCGAGATGAAATTGCTCTGTCGGGCTTTTCTGTTGACGTCGAAACGACATTTTCTGGGATCGTGGGATTTTGGCCTTGAACTTGATGTAGAGCTCACGATATATCCCACACATTGTGTTCGATGACGTTGAACCCGATTTCTTCTTCGACACCTTTTATAAGAGAAGCCTCACGGGAATTCGCAAGGAATTAAGGGATGGTCCCCCCAGACAAGCTGTTGAAGCTGTTCTCGTCCTTATTTAGTCCAGTTGTGCCACCTCCCCAAGGATTGCTGTGCCAGTTAGCCTCGCTATCGACATGTTCGAGACTTTTGAATCATTCGTAGGCTAGCTAGCTGTCGTTTCCGGTGAAGCAGACTACGCAAGTGTTATATACCAAATCTAATTTCTAACGGCGTTGTAGGATAACTTGGTTTGGGTAAGTAGTAAAAGCAATGGTTCTCAGTAATCAGTCCATGTGTGAAGGGAGAATTGAGCGAAAGTTCGCGCTTAATGAAGTCCTCGCTTTACATTTCTGTCATGGTCGTTTCGCTGAAATTGGATTACCAAGCGTAATGACCTCACGTGATTCTCGACAGCGCTGCCCTTTGAGGCTCGGGGCTGGCACTTTACTATTCATCAATACGACGAGTTTTTTTTTGCCACTTCACGTGACGCTCGCTACTCCCTTTATTTCCCTATTAGCCTACGGCTCTTTTTCATAGCCTTGTTCACAGGGACTGAAAAAAAAGTTACGAAAAGCAACAGTAAGGGGAAAAGGGGAGAGAAAACTGTGTTGTTGTGAAGAAGAAGTATCGTCTTATTAGTGTGTGGCA